AACACGTATCTGCAGAAGCTGGGGCTCAATTGTTCCTTGCAAAAGGCAAAACAAGCACGCTGCTCCTCTTCTCTCTCTTTTTGCAGCTTCCAAAGACTTGTTTTTGTTTTTAGAAATGTGGTTTATCTCACCCTGAGCCATAAATACTGAGGTCCTGTATTGAGTTACAAGCTGACTGGGGTAAACTCAGTGCAAAGGCAGGCAAAGTCCCTGGCTCTGCTCCCTTAATGACCTTGTCACTCACCTGCCACCCTCCTCTGACAGCAATAAGTAATTCTGCTGCCTGGGATCTATTGAGGGAGGACAGGCAGTCTTGCTAAGCTTTTCTTTAAGGAAGTGCTATCAATGGGGACCAGTTGTTTCAGATGCTAATGGTATTGAATAGCACAGTTCTGCATGTTCAAAGCCAGCTGTAATCCTTGATGGTTTTTTATGTTGCATCAGGGATCAGAGGCCCATTTTCCAAAATGCTGTATGTTGACAGAGCTTGTAGTCCAAATATAATAGCCACCTAGTTATATTTGTCTGTGGCTTTTGCCATAACGTGAGTGGTTACTAGTAGTCACCCCGGTGAGTAGTACGTGTGGTTTCAGAGATCTGCCAGGTACAGCTGCTCATTAACGCAGGACGGAGCACCACCGCCTGGCCCTGGCACAGGCATTTCATTTCTAACCTTACCTTCTGGTGGCTGGATGCACTAAGTTACCTCTGTATGGCACAGGCCTGATCTGCACATCTAAATAAACAAACTCTCACTGAAATTGCGATGGCAAAATTAAGAATTGGGATCAGGTCCTACATGGAAATGATGATAAATTCAGATCCAGATCTTGTCAGACTGAGCTATTAAATGGCGGCACAGGCAGCAGTATCCTAACGTGTGTGTCTGCCAAGGGGGATCACTGATGAAGCCATTCAGACCCGAGGGCAAAGGAATAAGGAATAATAGGGGCACTATACTCACAGCTTTAAAATTCAGGTTCTGCTCTTACAGCACGTGCAATGCTGTGTGCTACCCGCTTGCGAGGACAGGTTCTTGGGCTGCCTGAGAAATGCAGAGGACACCCAGACATTAAAACCCCTGCCAAAAACCTGAACTTAGGGTGAACAGTAAACCCAGCATTTAACTTACAAATCTGATTCCAGGCTGCATTTAGAAAGACCACTTTGGCCAGATCTTACTTATCCAAACTGGTTCAACCATTCCTAGCAACAAAGACCGATTTTTATTTTTTTTCACACCTTCATTACAGAAGGTGGAAAATATTTATCTTATAGCACATTAGTCTAATGGGCTTTCATAAGGCCGTGGTTGGTAGTTCACCACTGGCCTCAGACAGGGTTACCTTAGCCCTGCTGTGTCAGCTGAGCCAGGGTAGGTCTGGAGAGCTGCAGCAGCACCAGGTGATGCCACCAAGCTCAGCCGCAGTGAAAGAAGGTTAAACTGAGCCAGGCTGCGTTGCATTAGCCTCCAGCTGAGGGCACGCGCTTGTCCTGTTAATGAAGCTCAGCTGGCTCACTGTGACTCGTTACAGAAATAACTCGAACCTGTCCCTGAGTCCTGTGGCTTTGCAGCTTCAAACAAAAGCATTTCCAGGTAGAAGGGGAGGGTGGTGGCTCTGTTCTGCTCTGGCTCTGTTGTACAAGGACCTGTAAGAAGGGGGCATGTGTTGTACCTCCTGCCAAATTCAGACACACCATGCAGGTCAGTCTGAGCAAGGGGAGACAGGTAGAGGGATGCAAGAATGGCTTCAAGCCCAACTGGAACCATCTCTGCTAGAGGTCAGGACAGCCAAGGCTGTTCCTGGCTGTCAGGATGGGCCCAAAAGCTCCTGCAGCCCTAGGATGTGACCTTCATACCGTCATTGGGGTTGTACCAGGTAGATGAGCAGAACAGAAAGCTTTCACTAGTTTGGGCCCCACGACATTTCTCCCTGCAGGATAAGTCAGTGGCAGGACCTGCAGCCAGCACTGTTGTTTCTGCACTCCGTGGGACTCCTGTCAAAATATTAAGATTAGCGAGGATCACCAACATGCAGGGGAGGTTCTCCTTTTTCTCTGAGTGGGTGGGACCCAGTTAACCCATAGAAAGAATAAGAGGGTGAAATAGGAATGATCCCCAAATTCAAAATCTTCCTTTTCCCTCCCTGTGCCTCAACAAGGCATGAAACAGAAGGAGGAGGGAGAGGAAGATGTCCAGAAATGGCCTTTATACATAGATCCATTGGGGACTTAGGGAGGCACCTAAATCAGTTGGCCCCTCTGTGCTGGTGTGCAGAGTTGCATTAGCAGTGGTCTCCTCAAAGCCCTGACTGCCAACAAAGGGACTCCAACACCCAGCTCAGAAGCACGGTGAGGCTGGACCCACTGTTGGCTCTGCCTCCTGTGCTGTCAGGATGCTGGTGGTGGGATGGAGGCGGATAAGAAGAGGCATTGTGCCCAATGCTCCACTGGTGCAGGAGAGTGAGAGGAGCACTTTCATCTCCACTCTTGCCTCCTCTAAAGAGTCATTGTGCATCACCTCCATTAGGAGCTTATGATCATATCCTGCCTTCTCCACTGACTGTGTAGTTCAGGTCTCTGAGTCACCATCGGGGCCGCATCCCTATATTTGTCCCTCCATTTAGGCATTGCAGTGCCGGATACTGCACTCCAGCCTGTGGGTTCCGCAGATCTGCAGCACACCAGTTACTAAGTGAGTACCTAGGCTGACGGACTATGAAAGTGCTGCCCAGCATGCCAGGAGTTGAGCAGAAGCTGCTGGGAAAACAAAGCTGTGTCATGGTTCTTGGCCAGCCACGGGCTGGAGCACAGCCAAGGGCAGGTACCGGAGCAGCCAAGGCACGGGGCGAGCAGCAGCTCCGTACGGGAGCTATCAGCAGTTTGATGCCTGGGCTTGGTTCCTTGGGACAGTGAGGGTCACAGCAGAGCTGAGGCACACCAGCTCTCACTGCAGAAGGTAACCAGCAGCAGCCATGAGAGATCTGGCTGAAAATAAAAAAAAAAAAAAAGAAAACCCAACAAAATTGAGTTGCATTATTTATAGCAACATAAGGTTTTATTTTGGCAGTTTTCATGGCTGTAAAATACATCCTTCATTGTTAAAAGTCATAATGTCAGTTTGAAATCTGCTGGGCTTCCCTTTACCCTGAACTCTTCCCACTTCCTCTGGGGTGTGCTTGGAGTCTGAGGTGGCTGTTGATGTGGGAGATATCACCATTTCTGAAGTGAAAACTTAAATCCAAGATTTTTATGTTAATTATGGCTTGATTCAAGCTCTTGCAATTTCTTCAAACTGTATGAGTTTGTTGTTGTTTTTTTTTTTTTTTAATTATGGTTAAAGAAACAAACATGAGTGTCTCGACATGCATAGATAAGGCTCTCGCCATTTGGGGAGCTACCATTTCCTCCATGTCAGGACTGCCTCTGGGCCACGCATGCAGCAGCGAGGACTGATAGAGCAGGCCAGTCTCCTGGTGTGAGGCTCGTGGCCTGCTGGACCCCGCTGCCATCGACGTGGGTGCGGGTCCCTGGGAAGTCAGGCTGCCCTGGCAATCGGTGAGCCGGGGGCAGAGCCCCAGCCTGACTGAGGGAGCAGCCATGCGGGGATGGAGAGCCAAAGGCTTCGCTGCCAGTGGTGCCCGGTGTGGCGGGAGGCAGGTCCTGAGCAGCAGGAGGCTGGGTGGCTCTGCCAGGGGGCCCAGCTCAGCAGGACCCATGGCCGGGCAGGGCAGGGCTGTGGGGAGCTGGAGACTGGCCCTGTTGTGGCATCGCTGGGGCAGGGACTGGTAGCCCCAGGGTGGGCAGCAGGCAGCTCTGTCTGTGCCTTGGGGACATGGCTCCGCAGTACCTTTCTGCTGGCTCCCTGTCCTCCCCTGACCTGTCCATAGGCATCTTGTACCCATTGCTCCTTGTCCCACCATTCTCCATTATTTTATACAGTTCTCGCTTACTTATGTGCTTATGAAAAGCAAACCTATTACCCCTTGGTTGTCATCTTCTTAAAAGAGGCAAGCTATTTCATCTGCTCCCATGAAATAGGCCCTTGGCTCTTGAACACTGGTAGCCAGAGTGCTCTCTGGCATCCAGATAAGATCCTGCTAGAGTACTGAACCATTCATGGCATTAGTACTTCCCTATCACTGCTAGAAATACCGCAGTATTTTGGATTGTCTTTGCCTTTTTTGAGTCCGCACTGCAGTGATGGTTCACAGTCATTCTCTGATTGCTGAGTGTGCCCTGATGTTTCCCCCTTCTCTCATTTCCAGTTCTCAACCACCAGTTTTTAAAAGAGAGTCTGACCGTAAGTCTTAAAGCTCATGACATCGAACTTCATTCTGTGAAAAGCAAAAAATCAGAAGTGAAACTGAGCGGTGTCACGTTGCTCTCCTAGCTGAGTGAAACAAAGAAAGTAACTTCAAAGAATAGCTTTGCATGTTGCTTGAGAGATCTCCAAATAAGGTGGAAAAAATTATTCCATGAAGTCTCTTTACACTTCATGGTGGAGAACCTGCCCTTGCAGAAAAGCAGCAAACAGACAGACAAAATTCTTCCCTTAATTTTCTGCAATTAGAGCAAGAAATAAAACACACACAAAAAAAAAACCCAAACCAAAACAAAAAGACGTGTCCACTGGCTGTATCTCTTTAATCTTATGGGGATTTCCTTTACCTATTTTTCTCTTGAGCTGTGGTAACCAGAGTAAGTAGATAAAAACCTGCCCTGCTTGCAGCAGCTCCCTTCCCTTTTTAAAACACCAGCTAAATCAGTTACTTCTGTGTGACAGAAAGGAGTTAGTTCATTAAGTTTACATGCAGATTTTAGCTGATAATGTTCTCTCCCTGGTGAAGGATTTCTCAAGCATTTTCTGGTCAGTCTAATCAAGAGGCAGAGCTGAACAAAAGCACAAGATAGTTGAGTTTCTTTCTTTTGTTTTCCATATTTTGATGATCACAATTTCCTTTTACAGGAAAGCAAAAAAAAAAAAAAATTTAAAAAAAATGGCTACAACGGCAGCAAATACTCAAAGACAAACGATAGGCTGCGAGGAATACAGTCTGTACAGTAGCTTGAGTGAAGATGAGCTTATAAAGATGGCCATCCAGCAGAGCTTGGAAGAGGACCCTGCGGGTCAGTTGGCGGCCCAGAGCCACCAGAAGTCGATGGTGGCGGGTCCCAGGGA